ACTTCGCTGGTATCTGCGATGTCGCTCCAGATATAGCTCAATTCAGAAATCCCTACCCACACCCCGTGGTGCGAGTTTTCGCAACGACGATCCGCTCGAGGAAGATATGCTACGCCAGCTACTGTAACGAGTCGCCCTGCTTCTTCTTCAATACCACCTCCCCACTACCCTTTCTCCTCCTTTATCCCCTTACTTTCGAAATCCCGTGTTTCCGAATTTGCCCCCCACCGATCCGTCCGCCCCCCGAAACCTCCGAACTCAACGGGGACCGGAAGCAGGCGACTATCTGCACCCTAAAAAAACGCAACTATGCAGAATAGACCGGCGACCGTTGTATCGTACGCAGCCGGAGCCTCTCTCGCTGCTGTCGCACTCATCTATGTGTTTGGCCCGACGTTTACGCTCGATGATGACGCCAACTCATCCCGCAAGAAGACCATAGTCGGCCTGCGCAACCAGGCCAATGACTGCTTCATCAATTCGGTTCTCCAAGTCCTCGCCGGCCTCGACGACCTGAGAATCTACCTCATCCGCGAGACCCACCGCCGGCGCATCGAGAACCCGGGCGTCTATACCTTTGTTGTCCAGCCGGATGGGAAGAAGGTGCCCGAATGGAAGTTACAAGGGCTCCAGGAGGGGCTGGTGACCCAGGGATTGAAGGAGATGCTGGATGCGTTGAACGAGCGGCCCATCTACAAAAAGTCAATCTCACCGTTCCCCATTGTGCGTGTGCTTGAGATGGCGTTTAGACAAAAGATTAGTCGGCAGCAGCAGGATGCGCAGGAATTTCTACAGATTGTGGCTGAGAGGCTCAAGGATGAATATCATGCCGGTAGACGGGCGCGAATGCACACACGCCGCTATGGCCTGACGCCGAGTCCTTCCACTGTGGAGCTGAAGAAGGCTGCAGAAAAGACTGCAGAAAAGAATGACTCGAACGCCGCCAACGGAACCGAGGGCGAGAGCGAGGCAGATGAAAAGGCCGGGACCGAAGAGCAGCCTCAGACCACGAATGGATCCAGCAGCAATTCAAGCATCGAAACGCCGGGGGATGAGCCTGCCCATATCCCTCTGGAGCTCGAAGATAACTTCCCAATGGAAGGTAAATACGAATCGCAATTGCAGTGCCTAACTTGTCGATACAAGTCGAAGCCGAGGGAGGAGACGTTTTGCACACTTACTTTGGCGGTGCCGCAGGTATCATCTACATCGCTAAATAGCTGTTTTGATGGAATATTCAAGACGGAGCATATTGACGACTTCAAGTGCGAAAATTGCAGGCTGCTTCAAACGAAGACGAATCTTGAGCATGATATGGCAAAGTCTACATCAGACGCTTTTAAGGCACAGGCGAAAGAAAGTATTGACAAGCTCACTAAGGCGATTGAAACAGATCCCGAGAGACCTCCGGAGGACGTGGAGCTCAGTGATATCCGGTTCGCGCCGAAGCGCAGGATCGCAAAGACGACACGCATGACTACGTTTCCCAAGATTCTGGCGCTGCATCTTTCTCGATCCATCTATGGAGTCGGCCAGATGACCCAGAAGAACTCGGCCAAGGTTTCGTTCCCCGAGCATCTATCTTTGGGAGGATTGGCCCAGCAACACAAATACAAGTTACTGGGAGTGGTGACACATAGAGGCGGACACAACAGTGGGCACTACGAAGCGTTCAGACGCCAGAATCAGCCACGGCCCCCGTTCGCCAACATCAATACGTTTCAGCCTTCCGAGGTCTACAGCAAAACTCCCACACCGGCGGCAACACCGAAAATCCAGGCAAAGCGGGTGGCAGCCAGCCCTGCAGTGTCAACCCCTGATCTCCTTTCCTCGTCGTCCCTGAATAACTCCTCTACCCCTTCATTGGAATCGATGGTCGCAGCAGCACCACGGAGCGTACCGCAGGAGCCGGCACTAGCCGTGGCAGCCAATGGCAAGGATGGGTCAGACAAGGAAAGGGATGGTGATTCGAGCAGCATCCGTTCGGCAATGGCATCTACCAAATCTGCGCTCTCGCGAATTGCCTCCCCTAAATCAAAGGACGACGGTGGGTTGCTGTCGCCGAAGTCCGGAATCCAGCCCCCACGGAGACGTAAGCACGGTCCCGAGAAGTGGTGGCGTGTGAGCGACGAGAAGGTGCGGGAGTCGAAAACGAGCGAGGTCCTGGGGATGCAAAAAGAGGTCTACCTCCTGTTCTACGAACTCGAGAAATAGAGGATCGACGACCTCAATTGCTTCCCAAAGGGAAGACGGGCGAAAGAGAGACAAATACCAGGCAGTTTCTCAATTGTGGAAGAAAGAGGAGCAACGGCCGAACGTCTCTCATCCAACCCCCCTCCCCCGTCCTCTCACCCCTTCCCGGCCGGCTCTTCATCTACGAATCGGCTGATACTTGTTTGATTGGCGCGGTTGACCCTGTCTTGTGTGCGCCTTGTAAACCTAGACAACTTCTCTTGTTCTGGCTTTCACATGCCCGTTGATGTTTTCTTTTTCCTCTGGTCCCCACTCTGGGTTGGATTGAATGGCGTAAATTAAAAAGGCATTGGCATCAGTAGCACATTTTCATTATTTTTGGGTCACGCATGTTTCTTAGTTTTTTCATCGGGGATGGAGACATGGGGGATGGGGCTGCATCAGTATGGGGACTGGATGGACGGATCCGGCTGGATAGATTAGGCAGACAGGCATCAGATAAAAAGAGATACATAATATATGTATACTTCCAGCAGATCGGCCATGCAAGTCTGGGGAGAGTGAGCAGATGCCAGAGCAAATTCGAGTCGTGGTCAGACAATGATGACGGAGTGCCGAACAGGGAACCTCTGCGAACTGCGGAATGGCACATCTATACGCTCTGCCGAGTGGGAGATGGTGTACATCCATGGCAACCTCCGGCTTTTGGCATTGGCCAATGATCGTGCTGGGACTCGGCAAGGTATATACCTGTCTGCAGGCGCGAATAAACCGAAAAATCTACAAAAAATCGTACTATGTGCCATCTAATCACTGGGTTATAACGGCTTATAACGGCACCTAATTTTGCCACTCCGGGCTGTGCGCTAATTCGTCCGGCGGGCTCCGTCTTGCGTGAGAGTCTGAATGCTACCGCACGCACGGGGGAAGAAGCCGGCAGCGACGGGCTGCCCACTGATTACGGGAGAGAGCGTCGCAGCGGGCTCAATTGGGAGAGGGGAGGGGTGATGGAGGTGTACCGCTCGTCTCATCCATAGACGGCGGAGGGTGGCTCGGACTGGATACTTGAAGTCGCAATGCGATGCTCTGGAGAGAGCCTGTCGTGTGGGTGAGTCTGTGACATGCCGGGAAGCAGTAGGGTCGTAATCTGGGCGGTTTAAAACTGCTGACCCTGGCCTGGCCTTTAGATTCAGCCCAGGAGGACGGCCAGGAGGGAGAAAGAGGCAGCCGGGAAGAAAAGGAAGATAAAACGCACCCGGGGATGGGGCGATATATCCATATATCCATATCCAAGCCGTTCACATGATGAGAGGTTAGCAGCGGTACCTCAGTACTTACACTCTGTTTCACGCACTGCGGTCAGGTCCGCCGTAATATGTCCCTGGGCGTGAGTTGGGGTAGGTGCAAACGCAGTCCAAAAGCAGGTACCTGCAAATGTGGGCCGCGGCTGGAATAGGAAAACCGTTAAATGGATTGTGCGCAACGGGAGCAGGAAAAGGTCCCGTTCTTCGTATCCAATCCCAACGAGCCTCGGCGCACCACTGCGATGGCAGACTTGTGGCCTTGGGCATGCGGCGCGATTCCAGCTGGCGCGTGCCCTCCGTTGCAGCAACCGAGCTGGCACATAGTAGACGCGGAATTGGTTGCGCCAACAGACCCGACAAAGCTCCTAGCGCTGCGCTAGCAAAGCCACTCTCCCGGGCACTAGCACATTAGCCCTGGTGGACCAGCAAGCTCAGGCCAGTTCAGCAGCCAGCGCTGGCCCCGACCACCAGGATAGAGTCTCCCCAACTAAAACCAGGCTAGGGCCCCTGCTTGTAAATCCAGGCTCAAACAACGGTACCTGAGTTTTCTCATCAAGATCAATGTGTAAAAGGTCCCAGGTTGCCGACTGTCTCATCAAGGCCGCCCGGCCCTGCCATCCTGCCTGCCATCTATAATTATCCGGATCACTGATAATCACATAAGCACGTACGTACGCACGCCCATTTCACCAGCAGGCTGCGGGGAGGCAGCCGCAGCTCCAGTTCTTCTGCGATCCGTCTAAGCAGGCAGGCCAATTGGCGCGCTCAGCCGGCTTTCGGATGCAGCGTCAAACCGTACGATTTTTTGTTGTCATCCCGTCCCGTCCCAGCTCAGCAAGAGCAATTCTCGGGGTTTGTCGATCCGCCGCCCATGCCCCCCATTGTCCACCCCTGGTCTCCTCGAAATCTAGCTATTCCTGCCTGTGGCCCCGTTCCTGCGCTCTCCGGACCGACCTGATCGAGTGCAACCTCTCGCTTCCTGAGCCCTTCTTGGCTGATTTGTGCTGAAGAATTCCAAGCATCGAGCGCACCCAACAAGACCGGGGCCGATTGCTCGTTCTCCTGGTCGGTCCCATACTATCCCTCTCTCCTCACTTTCTTTCCTCCCCCCCACGCTCCCAATATTTGCCCACACCCACCCCTTGAGCTGCATGGGTTACTTCGGAGAGCTGTATGTATGCATAGCGAATTCCTGCCCACTGTTTCCCAGCGACCTTTGATGTACTACGTGACCCTACAGGCTTGCAGCCACGCCGGGGCAATAAGGATTACAGTAAGCGCCTAAGCGAGCCTCGCCCTATGCCGGTCCGCAGCCCGGGCTTGGCCTCGCCTGATTCCGAGCTCTTCCCCCATGCGCCTTGCATTGGACAGCACAACAATTCTGATGCCCTTGGACTAGGGCGCCCGTCGTCCCCTGGCTGTCACTCCCCAGGTGTCAAGTGTCCTCGCCCAATCGGTGCTTGCATAATACGCTGCTGTTCATAATTCCGATAATTCAAAGGCATGGCCTCGGCAGACTCGAGGGTTGGCGGCCAGGGTGCCTGCACCACCTCGACCGATCCTCCTCTGGATCAGCCTCCTCCGCTGTCTCGCTCGATTCCAACTCCAAAGCAAACGACATCTCCCAACTCTCATGCCCGCTCTCTCGCGCTCCCGGTCACCTTTGTCAGCGCCAACGTTGCCCCTGCCAGCGCCGACGCTGCCGACACCGCCACCACCGCTGCTGCTGCCACCACCACTGCTACCACCTCAACCACCAATAGTAGTACCGCTCCTGCAAACACGGCCGCCGCACCAGGAGCCGCCGGTCCTGCGCCCGAAATCGAGCAGAACGGCGGCAGCAAGACTTCAGAGGGCGAGACGGAGATGTCGGGCCACCACCAGCCGCCCGGAAGCAGCCCTCGTGGCCCCGCGAGCTACCCCGCGCCGCCTTCGTTGTCCTCGTCCTCAGCAGCAGCGTCTTATCCCCATCAGCCTCAAAATCACTACGCGCCCTACAACCACCAGCACCCCGCGCCTCCGCCGTCCTCCGATGCTGCCTACCGAGCCAGCCCAGCCCCCAGCAACTCCATGACACTCCCAAGCATGCGAACGATCGATTCGATGACACAGTCGGCCTCGCACAGCGCAGGTCCTAGCCAGAGCCTGAGCGCACCCATACCTGCTGGTTCTGGGCCCATGTCGTCGTTCTATCCAGTCCCTCAGTCGTCGACGTTGGGCTCGAATTACGCCATCTCACCGGAGGTCGTGGCTCGCTATGCGGCCATGCCATATAGTCCGAACAGCGTGCTGCATCGCGCACCCAAAAAGGTACGAGCTCATTCTTATGCATCGAGAGCTTATGGGGGAAGGCGACGTCGGGAATCTCTTCGCAAGTGCTCGAGAGGGGGCCGTCTTCAACCTTCTCTCGTAAGGACCGGGAGGGCCGGAGAGCGCAAGGAGGGGAAACATGTTTGAAACGGAGCAGCGCCCGGGATGAGTCGGACGGGGGAACTGCAAGAAAGACTTCCTGGACGAGAGAGACATCACAACTTGAACTAACCTCTTGCCTTTTTTCTTGCTAGGAGATCAAGCGTCGCACGAAAACTGGCTGCTTAACTTGTCGCAAGCGCAGAATAAAGGTGAGCACGCGCGGTTTTTATTATTGTTTCTTTTCTTTTTCCACGAGGCGCCCTACATGGTCCGACGACGGCACTGCACTTTTCCTATTTCTCTCCGCTTCTTCCTCTGTTTTGCGCTTTCGCTCTACAGATCATGATCAGCAGGAATGGCCCAAAATTTCTGATTGGACTTTTGGCACTTCTTTCCAGATTGAAGCGGGCAAAACCAGATGCGCACGCGACAACATGGGTGGCACCAATCGTGAATGCGCAGCAGTGCGTAGGAGCCATTATGACATGATTGCGATGCAGGGAGGTCAGGGATTCGAAGCCGGTCAGCCAGTCTTGATCACGAATTGTCCCGAACCCAGGAAAAAGAAAAAAGAAAAAATTCGGCCGACCCGCTTCATTCCCTTCCCATGATTCCATTCCTCACGACTCCGCTACTGTGCGGCGCAAGTGTGAAGGCTCGCCAGGTGCTGGATGAGAGGACGCTTGCACACGTGGTGACGATGCAGGCAATTATGCAATTATGCAGCGTTGCGCGTGGTGGAGAGCAACCACCACATCGCGCGTCGCAGCCGCTCCCGCTTCCGCTCCCCTCCCCCACCATCAGAAAGTGCATTGACTGGGACGGAGCCTTCCAATTGCCTGCCCTGTGGTTGCTGCCCTGCCACTCTGCCCCAATACACATGTCCGCTGCATGCGCCTGCACCGTGCTGCCTGCTTGACCGACTCTCCCCTCCCCCTCAACCTGTTCCCTGCCCGAGCTCGCCTTGATTGCTTCCTGGCATTGCTGGCGCGTTTGCCCGTTGGAGGTCTGCTGTCCGTGACATCAGTTCGTAATTGGCAGATCCGAACCCGCAACTAACAGCCTAATTTCCAAATAGTGCGACGAGGGCCACCCGACGTGCAACAATTGCAAGAAGTCGAGGCGCGATTGTCTGGGATACGACCCTATTTTCCGGCAACAGACTGTGAATCTGGGCGGCAATTCTTACAGCCCGGCCTCATCTTCGGCCACAACTGTTTCAACACCTCATTCTCAGGTGGCATCTCCCCCAGAACACTCCAGGATACTCCCACCGCCTACATCCCGCCACCAAGGTGCTCCTCATTCTCACATCGGATCAAATTCCTACGGAGCCCAGCCAACTGCCAGCTTGAGCAGCTACTCATCTGCATCCTCAAACGGTCCCCTCCCACCACCAACGAGCTCTTCACCCTACCATAACCCCGGTATCCAGAAGGAGCCCAACGACAGCAAATCCGACCTCAGCCCGGCATTCCATTCTTCCTCCTTGAACGGTTCAGATCACCGGGTTTTGCCTCCGCCGAATCCAGGGACAGACGGGTCGAGATCCAGCCACCAGCACCTCAGAGGTAAGGCCCATTTTTACTGAGCCTCTCCTCGTAGGATCCACGACTCACCCGGTGTGAAAACAGGAGAGAAGATGAAGATTAATGACATAATCAATTTGCTGGGCCCCCCTCCTCCTCCCCAGCAGGCCAATTCTTCGGAGGAGGAGTTCAACGAAATCACTAGGGTGTATCATGAGATGTATGCTGGGAGCCTGAGTGCCTTCTTCGAAACAAGCTGGTACTATTTCGTGGAGAATGGGCAAATGACTTTTCCCAGGGATCCTGGGTTAATCGAGGGCATGGCGGCGTTTTTGAAGGTCCTACAAACTGTCAAGGCAAATGATCACGTCCAAATGTCTTACTCGGGAGTTTTGGAAACCAGGATCGTCTGGCAGCTGGCCTGCACTGCGTCCTGGGCTGCGGCTGACCACACTTCGAATTCTACGCGCACATCGCTGCCACCCGATGGTGATGCGGTGGAGGCGAAGAACCGGCTGAAGGTTGTCGAGGCGCTGCTGTGTGGCGACTACCTCGCATCGAACCCTCTTACTCCGCCTTCGCAAGATCGGGATACTGTTCGGATGCGTCAGTTCGACTTTTGGTATCAGTTGGGAGAGTTTGTGCGAATCCGAGAGCTCCCAAATGCACCGCCCGCGGTCAAAGATAGGGATGGCGTACTGAACAAGATGCGGCATCTTCTCGACGGTCGGGAGAACCGGGATGTGCTCTACTCTATTGCCGTGGTGAGGGAGCTGGCTCCCCAGTTCGACCCCAACTACGCTAGCTCGGTTCCTCAGCATCTCGACGAGGCGGACCCGAAGAACCGGCTCGCGGTGGCTTCCAAGTTTATTCTCGACGAGTCACAAGTGACGGGGGGAACCACAAACGTCGTACGGCGGTTCAGTGATATTGCCGCGCGGGCTTTTGTCAACCCCGGAGTGAACGTTGCGAGGTCTGCTTAATGAGAAGCCTTTCCTTTCCTTTCACTTTTCTATTACCACTTTGTTTTTCTTTTTCCTGTTTTTCTTTCTCTCTTAATTTCATTCTAGAAAAGGAGCCAAAAGCCACAAGGCACTGTATCTGCTCTATTGGGCTTTTGACTTGATTTTCAAAGTCGGGATTTGCGCACGCCTTCCGTCATCGGATGGCACATGGACAACAATTTGATATGGCAAGCATAGAAGGGAGAGCGAAAAAGCTTTGTGCTATATTACGACGGGAGATTACTAGACCTCCTTTCCAGGCGTTTTGTTTTTACATGGTGGGATGCTTCTGCAGGTTTTCATTTATCCACCAGGGGATTTTCTTTTACAGTCGATTCGGGTTAGACATGCATGGATCGACACACCAGGGTTCTCTTTCACAACAAGGCGTAACTCTTGACTTTACCAAATACATAAGTACATATGTATGCAGTCAAATAATTTCAGGCATTGCAAGGAGATCTGAGGCGAAGAGCGTGCTCCTTGCGAGCATAGGAGGCAGATAAACGCAGCGGGACAGCATATAAGGGAGGGAGAAGATGTGTGAGGACTGCGTGTGAGGCTCTTTGGTGGTGGATAAATGCGGTAAAATAGTAGGTAGGTATGTTGTTGGTATGAATGAGAGACGGGTTTATTGTCTTCACAGGCAAACAAGACGAAATTATTGTCTGTGGCCAACCCAATGAATCGTGACTGGGTGAAGAAGTAGGCAAGGAAAGTGATTTCTTCACCTAACCTCTTTGCAGTGCAACGACGCCCAAGCAGATGATCGATCGTGTTGCTTCTCGAGTCAAACCAAACTAGGACATTCAGCTTTGTCCCTCGACTCCATCGGCCCAGCCTGAGCTTGAATCTATCTGGTTGTGTGGCCTCCCATAAAAAGGTACGAGATGATGATGAGCTAGGACAAATAATGCCGCCCAGGTGACGTGGTTGGAGAGCACACCTTCTGATCTGATGGACAGACCCCAAAAGCGGTGACACTGAATCACGATCGCTCCTATCCGCGAGCACTGCAAGTTCGGAGCTGGACGCTGCCTCAGTTTCGAGTCAAATCTACCATCATCTGTCAAAAGAAGGAGGCAAGCCCCTCTCAAGGCTTTCCTTTACACTTCCTCCATCCACTATTGTTTGAGTAGTTGAGAGTTTACCGGTATATCTTGTTGGACAACGAGTCGCCATGCAGTCGGGATAGCAGCTTGCAGATTATCGACCAATATTCGACCAGCATTATTATCATTCACGACTTTCTTCGCCAAGAGGAAGAGGCAGAGAAGGCTACGGAAAGAAAGAAGAAACCTATCAACTTATTCTCAATGTGCAAAACTCGGGCTGTGTTCTGTCGCAACCGGGGCTGTCGCAAGATCGTCGGCGAGTTGATCCTGGTGCCGTGCGAGGAGGCGACGAGACCGACGGACTCTTCGACGAGGATCACCAACCCATTACACGACGAATCCTTAAGTAGCGCCTGCGGATCGGAAGAGGCAGAAACGAATGGGGAGGAGGAGTGGCTCGCGAAGGCTCGACCGTACCTCTTTGGCTGCGGATACAAAGACTATACGGAACGGCACCGATGCGGGTATCGGGTCTGCAATGGCTGTTTCCAGCGGCAGATGATGGCGTACATCATGAGGCTTGCGGTGAATGGGATAGAGAGCGAGGACGGGGAGCCGTCGCTGCTTGCTAGGAGGCAGTACCTCAGCTTGTATGGAGATCTCGGGGAAGAAGAATGCCAAACACCACGTGAGGCATGTGTACAAGATACGGCATGGTCGCCAGGCTATCCTGCCATGCTGGACGAGAGCATGGTCAAGGTTGAAGACCCGGGACTCCTTGTCAATTCAGCTCCTGTGGCTTATCGAGCGACCCCCGGGATGATGGACGATATCTACGATGGCCCGTTTATCGATGGTGGTCAATTTCAGCCTGCCCCAGCTCAACTGCAGCAACAAGCCTTGTATCCGGGCCAGGCTGAGCCGTGTCCTTACCAAGACCCAGCGCCGAGTTTTCAACCAACTAGCTTGGAGGATCCTGGTATGTTCGCCATAGATCCTCAACTGCTCGATTGGCGGCAGAGCGAGCCTCAATTGTTGGACTTTCTCATGCAGCCGGCCGCGGCGCCTGTTGAAGCAGCACCAACCGGGGACCCAGGTTCATGTGTAGAGGATGTGAGAGGCGCTGCGAGTGCGGATATCTTGAAGTGGGAGGCCAATGTTGAAGCCCAGGCAGGTGGCCATGACTCTGCGTTTACACACTCGCTTGAGGAGGCCGTCAGCGGCGTGGATGTGGGGAGTCATATGTGGAATCAGGAATTGGTTTGGGGCGCAAGCGGATATTATTCATGAGGCATGGTTATTAAGGATTGTTTGTGTTGACTTTGGTGACGTGTGGAATTAGTGGGATAAGGAGTGACGCAAGTTTGAAAGTAGAGATGGCAGCGGGAATCGAGTCAATTGTGGTTTGTCAAAACGAGCCGACAAACCCGGAGGAGGCTCTTTTGTGTTTTCGACGCTTATCTCGGCGCTTACTTGCCTTTTCCGCTGCACCGGCCTTGTAAATCTGCTGCGATCCATGGAGCGACGTAAATGAGTCATTCCTGGATAGGATGGTGCAACAAGCCAGCCTTGTTGACTCACAACATGAGCGATAGACGATATAACACCATCACGGCACTTTCCTTTTGCTAGCTGGACTCTACAATAATGATTTACATTTCAAGCCTCTTGTCTCCTTTTTATCGGGCTAAACTAGTCTAAATCAACAAGTTGTAGATTTCAATTTCGTGACCACAATTTTCCAATATGGCCATCCGCGCCCTCACATCACCTTCGCCTCCAAGCCCAGAGCCCGGCACAGTCCTCCTTGAGACGGAGAGGCTCGTCATCCGCCGCTACCTGCTGAGCGACGCCCCCGCCCTGGCGGAGATCGGCAACGACCCGGAAGTGGCCATCTTCATGAGCGACAGGTTCCCCAACCCGTACACGGTCGAGGACGCGGAGACCTTCATCAAGAACCTGAACCCCCAGCACGACCCGACCTCGCCGCCAGAGTACCCCACCACGACCGCCGTGCTGCTAAAGGTTGCCCCGGCGGACGGTCGCCATCACACACCCGCGGGCGACGGGCTCGTCCTCATCGGCTCCCTGGGCGTGCGGCCCAAGCCCGACGTCTTCTACCGCACCTGGGACATTGGCTACTTCGTCGGCCGGGACTTCTGGGGTCAGGGGTACGCCACCGAGGCGGTGACGGCGTGGACGCGGTGGATGTTCGCGACGTGGCCCGAGCTGCTGAGGATCGAGGGCGGGCGGTACAGCTCCAACCCCAGGAGCGGCCGGGTGATGGAGAAGAGCGGGTTCGTGCTTGAGGGGGTAAAAAGGAGTGCCGTGGTGAAGAATGGGGTGGTGCTGGATGCGTTGCTGTATGGGCTGCTGCGGAGCGATGTTGAGAAGGAGTCGACTTGAAGGTGGTTGTGTGTGGCCGCTTGTTCTTGTGCAGATTATAGACTCTGAAGTAGTATACCAACTCAGCTCTTATGGAATTGAGCAGGTAGATGGATGGTTTCCCCTTAATATAACGATACTTGATCCTACGAGTTTGCGGGCGAAGGGAGTGGCCTTGTATCCTATTGGGTGTTTTGATAGGGTGGTGGGAGAGCAGGCTGCTCACTGATGGGCATGACGAGTTCTTGGTGAATCCGGACCTCAAGGATGACCAAGTCAACTGTATAAACCTGCATCTCGGTCGTGTGAATATAACTGGCCCTCTCGGGGCCAAGACACCTAGAGTTGATGCAGACGCTGCGCAGCCCGTCGTGCCTCCAGTTGCGGTTCGGGCACCGGAAGGCCTTGGCCCTGGACTCCTTGATCTTGAGGATCTTGAACGTCCTGCCCGCCGCCCTGATCATCTCCTCGATGTGGGCCAGCTGCTGCTCGCCGTGCAGGGTGACGCACTTGGGCCAGGTCTTGGTGGACACGGCGTCGAGGTACGCCCGTGCGAGGATCCAGTTGGCCAGCCGCTCGATCTGGTAGAACTCGGCCTGGTGCTGGAGTGCGTGGTACAGCGGGATGTCGTGGCCCTTCTCCACGTCGTGGAGGAGGGGAAAGATGCCGGTCCGCAGGTAGCGGAGGATGTGCTCGAAGAGAGCGGGATCGGCGTCCACGAAGTAGGGTTTCTCGGGGTCCGGGTCCCGGAGGTGGACGAGGGAGCTGAGGACGGAGCTCTCGGCGATGGTCTGCCTGGTTGTGTAGAACTTCTTCTCGCCGATCTGGAGGACAATTGGGTCGATGGGACGGGGCCCCGCGTCGACGAATGCACTGGCTACTGAGGACATATTTGTAATTATGAATTGAATATATATGAGGATCAGCCCTGTTGGTTTTGTGATATACTTAGGCTCGTCTATAATAGCCAAGAATATACAATGGCTGTTGGCAATTGTATATATGGATGAAGTTACACGAGACCAAAGACACCAACGAGAATAGCAACGAAGCAAACGGATGATGGAAGGATAGAATCCTGAATGGAAGAGAGAAAGAATAATCGAGAACAATTAACAAGCCGGATATATGCTATCCTTATATATCAATATGTGGTGTCTACAGAAATAGCATACCCATGTTAGAAGGATCACATAACGCCTACAAAAGAGCCCATTTGTTAATAGACCATTGCCCAAGTTACATCACACGCTGACGCAGGGGCCATTCAAGGCTGATTGATTGACGCCCGATCATCTGCCACGCTTACATCCCGGTATCCATAAATGCCGTTAGGTGGTTGAAATTGCCTATACGCGCAGGGCTGTTTGATTTGCGTGTGATGGCAGATGCTGGGGTAGCTGCTGGTGATTAAGGTGCTGATTGATAGCCGGAGTGAAGAGTGTCAATTGCCCGTGTCTGGAGTCATGACCAAATGATTCTGTTGATTGTTCCCGGTACCTGAGGAACGTTGATGGAGAGGTATTGGGGGTTACTGCAACGGGGATAATGTGCGCGCCTCTCTGCATCTCCACACCTACCAGTACCAATCGGTACCTGCGCCACCAAGCTCTACAAGTACTGCCCCGGAAGCTACCACATACCCGGGCGGGTGGCCGATGGAATAATACCCGCACGATGATTGGCCAGACAGCGCGAAAACAAAAATCCGAGCCCACCACACTTCTATCCTGAGCTTTGGTTTGCACGGCAAGCTGAGGAATCTGGACAAGCGGATGACGAGCACGGCCATCAAGTCGACCAAACTCACCGTCGTTGTGCCATTGACTTGAACCCCGTGCAAGAGGCTCTAACGGGAGACCACCCTCTTGCCTTCGACTGGCCATTGGCACGCTCTCCGCTCTATCCTCCTAACCGCCCGCAATGACCTATCTACATCGACTCGCCAGCCAGGGTGCCAGACGGCTGTGTCTGCGCCCGGCCACATTGGCCACCCGCCCCTTCTCGACGACATGCCTGCGAAGATATGCTGCTCCTGAGCCCGCGGGGACCAAGCTCATCCCCGTCGACGACGATTTCGCGCACCCCTCAGACCCCTACGGCGCGACCCGACTAATTCCTGGGGCCACCGAAAAGTCGCGCGAGAACTCGGTCGAGGACCGCAAGGTCCGCCACTACACCGTCAACTTCGGACCTCAGCATCCCGCCGCCCACGGTGTGCTCCGTCTCATCCTCGAGCTCAATGGCGAGGAGATCGTCCGGGCCGACCCCCACGTCGGCCTGCTGCACCGTGGTACCGAGAAGTTGATCGAGTACAAGACCTACCTCCAGGCCCTGCCCTACTTCGACCGTCTAGACTACGTCTCCATGATGACCAACGAGCAGTGCTTCGCCCTCGCCGTTGAGAAGCTGCTCAACGTCGAGATTCCCGAGCGTGCCAAGTTTATCCGGACTCTGTTCGGCGAGATCACCCGTGTCCTCAACCATCTCATGTCCGTCCTTTCCCACGCTATGGATGTCGGTGCCCTGACGCCTTTCCTGTGGGGTTTCGAGGAGCGAGAGAAGCTTATGGTGAGTCCTTTCAGAACACGGAAAAAGGCAGGATGGCCAGTTCTGGCGGTCAATTGGGAGATATTGCTTTCGTTATAGAGATTTGGAAGTGTTGAGTCGTTTGCTGACGAGGGTTTAGGAATTCTATGAGCGAGTATCTGGTGCCCGTCTGCACGCTGCTTATGTTCGCCCAGGTGGTGTTCACCAGGATATCCCCGTCGGTCTTCTCGATGACATCTACCAATGGGCTACCCAGTTCGGCGACCGCATTGATGAGACTGAAGAGATGTTGACTGACAACCGAATCTGGATTGAGCGTCTCCGTGGTGTTGGTGTTGTCACCGCCGCTGATGCCTTGAACCTGTCTTTCTCTGGCCCCATGCTCCGCGGTTCCGGTATTCCCTGGGATATCCGCAAGAGCCAGCCCTACGATGCCTACGACCAGGTTGAGTTCGATGTCCCCGTTGGTACGAACGGTGACTGCTACGATCGTTACCTGGTCCGCATGGAGGAGTTCCGCCAGTCCCTCCGAATCATCCACCAGTGCCTGAACAAGATGCCTGCTGGCCCCGTCCGCGTCGAGGACTACAAGGTCTCCCCCCCTCCCCGTACCGCCATGAAGGAGAACATGGAGGCTCTCATCCACCACTTCCTTCTCTACACCAAGGGATACGCCGTTCCCCCCGGTGACACCTACTCCGCCATCGAGGCCCCCAAGGGAGAGATGGGTGTCTACCTTGTCAGTGACGGCAGCGAGCGCCCATACAGATGCCACATCCGTGCCCCCGGTTTCGCTCACCTGGGTGGTTTCGACCACGTCTCAAAGGGTCACTTGCTGGCCGATGCTGTGGCGGTAATTGGTACCATGGATCTGGTGTTCGGTAAGTTTTTTTTGTTACTCCTTATCTTCGACCTTTCTCAGGCAGTCTTGACTAACTCTTTTGCAGGTGAGGTCGACAGGTAAAGTGGATGTCAAAGCAGTAAACTAGAATGGGTTTCTTTTGTGTGTTTTGTAACCATAGCAAGACCAGGAGAACAAGGTATATACTCCTAAAAAATGACGTTTTGCCATCTAAACTTTCCATGATTTTACTCGGAGAAAGACAAAGTGAATGTGAGCTACGACCAAGTACTGTCAGTCAGGATAACTAGTATGTTGTTGGGTGGGAAAATGTACAATTCCTGTAACATGAATTAGATGCAGTTATATTCTAGTAAGTATACAGTGATGTTACACGTCATAACTAACAATACAGCCCCCGAATCAGAGAAGTTTCGCACCGTTGCCCGAAGCCTGCTCCATGAAGAAGTTCTTCAGAGGTCCGAGGGCATTCACGGCCCTCAGCCCGAGAGAC